TCTCCTGCTGAACTCGAACAATGAACTTCATGAGCTACAAAAAAAAAATAGGATAATAAACTTGTGAAATGTGTTGTGATGTAAAAACTGAAAACACAAACTGTGGTGTGTTTTTATTTTGTTGGTTCATGAAAGTTGAGGTAGAAAGCCACAGATTTTGATGACTTGTAGTTAAATCAGCTGTTTTTCATCTTTACCACTAGATGGCAGTCAAACACCACAAGCTTGATTTATGAGCGTTCAAAAACTTTGAAAGGTGACGTCATAGTTGCAAATATTTCTCTTTTTAAGGCTAATAATATATATTTTTTAGATTAGAGTAAAAGGAAAAATCACAAGTGGAGATAAGGCATTGACAGTGGAATTTAAAAGTTTTTTTTTCACAATGATTATATCAGGAGCTTAAATGAAGCTATAGTTTTTATGCCTGACTTGAAAATTTATATATATATATATATATATATTTATAAATATCAGAAAGCATTTTTAATTGTTGGTAATGGGAAAGCTTGAATTAAACTCAGATGAAAAGTGAGAGCCTACTGTAGATGGCATGCTGGGCAGCTTTGTTTTTACACTAATAATAAAACTAAAAGTTTTATTTATATAATCACATGTACACCATTGTTTTTGAGATTTGCTTAAATTGACATATTCACTCCTGAGATATTTAGTTAAATTCAAAGGGCCTTTCATGTTTGAGCACTAAGGAGCAATATGAAACTGAATATAGAAATTATTATTTGACAACTCCACACAACAAAAAAAGCTTACAAATATGGAACAAAAACAAATAAAGGGTAATGTGCAAATCAAATATGTGTTCACCAAAATGTTAACTTATGTTAAATGTATATTGTAAAAATGTAGGTTAAATGGAGAACATGTAAAAATTAACCAAAAGAATGACAAGTACAGAAGAAGAAAAAAAATAGAAATAATAATACAATGTGTGCACATATGAATGTAGTATATTAAGTATTTATGCCTGTTTTAACAGTAATAAATACTAGGTTTTTTTTTTTACAACAATATATCCAACATTTGCCATTTATAGCACGAGCATTTATATAACAAACATTTTTAACATTCTAGCACGTGCATGAGATATATCAGCCACATAACGAACAAAAGCCAGTTTAACCACTCTAACTAAGGGCTTTAGTTCATCACAGTACTTCGATTCACTGATTGAACCGAAGTCCGTGAACGAACTCCGCTGATTCAGCAGTTTTTCTTGTAATTCTTTAATCCGAATCAGTGACTCGACTCATCTAAAGTCCACTGTTTTATGATGCAGCAGTTTCAGGTCAGTCCTCCAACTCTGGGGGTCAAACTCGCAGCAGTCAGAGAGGACATGAAGGATCCGGATTAATTAATACACCGGATTTGGGAGTTATTTATCAGTGAAGTATTTGGATCATTAACTCGAGTGAACCGCTAACCTAGCATTGCTGAGCGGAAGTGAGTGAGTGGTCACGTGATGCAGTCAGCTGTGACGTGATTTGAATGTCGCTCTTCGCAGGTTAGCATCGTTGAACGTGGTTGTGCTCAGTTTACAGTCGAGTAGGATTCAAAACATTCAAAGGAGATATTTCGTCCACACGTTGACGGTGCTAAGAGTAAAAAAAATTTTTAATATTTGGACTTAAAGTGAAAACAGCGCTGTACAGTTAGCTAATGTGGCTAACGAGTCTGTTTGTTTACAGAAGGCAGGTTGACGAACAGCTCGCAGGTATTTCTGTCACTTTTAAACAAATGAGCCAAGAGGTTACTTATGACATGTCTGTTGCTTAATATTAGTGTTGAATATTTTGTTATTCGCAACGTTATTGTTTAGTATAAAAAACTTTAGTTGAAGAATTAAGACATTTAGTTTTATCGCAATATGTTCCACCTAGCTACAAAACAAAACTACAATAATTAGAAAAACAGACAAAACATTCCTTGTACTCTTAAAATTTGGAACCAAGATATCAGTATTTGTACTTTTGTAGTTTAGTCAATCATTTGATGTGAACCCTGAACTACTGAACACCATTTCTTTGAGCCCTCATAAGATTTCATTGTTTTTAGGATGTCTAAATTGGAGCGCCTGAACGCTCGTGTGGCCAAACTGCTGACTGAAGCTGTGAATGAGGTTCTGGATGTGGTGAAGGAGACCGTATCGGAGTACCAGCAAAAAACAGCCAGAACGCAGAGAGAGAACGAGAGTCTGAAAAGAAGACTGCGTGAGCTTCAGGAAAGCACACCCAAAGAAGGCACAGGTGGGTTAAGTGTCAGTGTGGAAGTAATTACATCCATGATTAGATAAATTGCCAAGAGTGGAATTGTAAATGCCTTTTTTTGTTTTCTGAATTTTACAGCTGTTTTGCCTACAACTGACTTTCCATATGCTGGAACGGATGACGCAGCACACCAAAACCAGGATTCAGCCCTGTTTCTGATGCATAATCCAAATGTTGCTCACACAAAGCAAAGGCTGATGATCAGCAACAAACATAACGAGATGAAGATGGAACCTGAAGAACAACAGCAGTACAACACTGGTCAGTCTGGAATTGGGCATCTCAAAGTACAACCACAGGTGGCAACTAAAAGAAGTGAGAATGCAGAGAGTGTCCAAACAGCACTTTCTGCTGATGGGGACACAGGTGCAGTGTCCCTGAGCAGTGGGTGCACCTCTTACCCCAGCTCCCTGCTCAGCATCAACGTCATCAAAAGCGAAGCCGAACAATCAGAGTGCACAACATCAGAGCAGCTCCCTCCCCAAGAACAATGTACTGGACGTGTGGATTTAAGCTTGGGGTCTAATTTTCACATCTCTTCCAAGACCCACAGACCACATGGTGGCACAGAACCTTCTGGACTTGTCTTTGTTAATGCTGATCATACTGCACACAGGAGCCAGGGGTACACTAAAACCAAAAGTAGCAGGTTTCACCAAAAACTAATTGTGACAGAGCGTCTAGAGAGAGGCAGCCTACACCCTTGTGTTGTATGCGGGAAAATGTTCAGGAGCCTCTACCACTTAAGAATACACCATCGCTGTCACACAGGAGAAAAGCCGTACAGCTGCATGCAATGTGGGATGCGTTTCAGGCTGGCAGGAGATAAAAGTAAACACAAGAGGGTCCACACGGGGGAGAAACCGTACAGATGTAACCAGTGCGGAAAGAACTTCAGTCGAGGGGAGAATCTCAAAAGACATCAGAGGATCCACACTGGGAAGACGTTGCAGTTTCAGGGAGCAGCTGTAAGGTTTTCTGGATCGAACAGCATGATTACCTAATCACTGAAGGATTGTTTAAAATCTGTTTTATTATTTAAAAAAAATACCTGCATTTATGTGATTTGTAAGGCACAGAATATTTACGACTCAATCTGGTCCTCTGGACATTCAAAAAAACAAAACAAAAAGCAAAAAAATCTAGATACATTTCGTCTTTTATCCAAAAGACTTCCTCAATCTGAGGTGCTGTATTCAGCTCAGTCTCTTAAATAGCACCTTCTCAGAGTGGATCAACCAGTTTGCTGCTGACAACAAAAACCAGCTGCTCACATGGTCAAGAAGGACCATCAGCCTAACAATGGATCATTAGCACACTGATGGCTGTTTACTATTTACAGGGGGTTGAGTGATACTAGCAATCACAGCATTGTAAGAGGGGGACAGTTGAACCCGGAGGCCTCCACCCCTGTTTAATGATGGACAATTTCTTTTCACAAAGATGGCCTCCTTTACTCCTCTCTCAAACCATCGTTCCTCTCTGTCCAGGATGTGAACATCTTCACCCCTGAAAGAGTGACCGCTGGCCTGGAGATGAGTGTAGACCGCAGAGTCCTGGCCTGATGATGTTGATCTTCTGTGCTGGGCCATCCTTTTGGCCAGTGGCTGTTTACTTTCCCCGATGTAAGACTGATCACAGCCCTCCTGACACTGAACAGCATACACAACATTACTCTGTTTGTGCCGGGGGACTGGATCTTTGGGATGAACCAGTCTTTGCCATAATGTATTTTGGGGTTTAAAAGCCACTGGGACGTTATGTTTAGAAAATAAACGTCTCAGTTTCTCTGATACTCCCTCAACATACGGAATGACCACTGGTCTGGGTTCCTCTTTTTCACCTGATGGCTGACTGGAGACCTGTTTGGGTTTCTTCTCTGCTTTCAGGAGGCCCAGTTAGGATATCCACATTGCTCTAGAGCCTGTCTTGTGTGGGATTTCTCCTTCTGCCTGGCTCCTGAGTTAGTGGGGATGCTGTCTGCTCTGTGATACAGAGTCCTGATGACTCCTAACTTGTGCTCCAAAGGGTGATGGGAGTCAAACCGCAAACCGAGAAGATGTAAAAAATGGCAAGTTGGCTTTCTTGGACTGTGAGGTCTCAGTCTCTGATAGAGGACATTTGCAAACTGAGGTGTACCGCAAACCCACCCACACAGACCAGTATTTGCAGTTGCTCTGGAAGCCTGCTCTGGCATGGACCCGGCTTCCTCCATCATTGTGACAATCCGAACAGAATCATAACAACAAGATGGCTTACGAGTGAGAACCAGCACTCTTCTGCATGTAAGACCAACCCTGGGTCTTTTCTGTGTCTGTGGCCACTCATCGTTGATTTCTTCTCGCCCTCTCTGGAGCAGCCTGCTGATCGACCTTCTGGGGCTGTCTCCCTCTGAGTGTGCACATTTGCGGTATTGTGTGGTCATGGCAGCGGCCATGAGCCACTTGATTGTTAGGATCTAGCCCTTAGAGTAGTATCGAAGTATGGCTGAGACTTCGTAAGAATATATTGTCAGAGTTTAAGTTCTTGGATCACACTAGGAATGGGACACCAACACTCCTTTTTTAAAAACAGGCTAGGACTAGATCCATTCATGCTCGTCACCAGAGGTGAGTCCCTTCGCACCTGCTGTGTCATAGATAGTTCCTCCTGCCATTTACCTGTGCTTCATTGAATTTCTTCACCTTGACATTAAGAGCGCTGGGCAGAAATCACATTGCGTCAACATCAACCACGGGCCTTTGCAATGCTTTGTTTTAATTAAACAGTCATATTCCCCTGGTTCGCACCAGTTCCAAGTCAGCTGCTAGGTGCCAGCTGAGGCCACCCACCCGCCAGGGCAGCCCACTTGTGCGGGACCCCGATTAGCACCACAGCTGGGGAGATCCATGGAAAGTGCCCGGCGTATGTCCAGAGTTGCCGCCTCCCGCCGTGCCGCATCCGCCTGCCGGCCCGCCTTCGTGCCAGGTGCGGACACCTTACTGCAGGACGCCCACCCCCCTGGGCCGCCGGCGTGCACAAGGCGCGTCTTTGGCTGCGGAGCGGGGTGCCCATGATGCGGGCTGCGCCCCGGCCTTCTGGCAGTGCCGTGCGAAGGGCAACGACGGGGACCACTCTCCCAGTTGTGGCGCGTGTCCAGCCCTGCTTCACACCTACCATACCATACCATACCATACCAATTTATTTATATAGCACTTAAAACAGCAACAAGGCCAACCAAAGTGCTGTACAAAAGAACCAAACATGCACAGCAGACAGGAAAACATAAAATAGAAATACAGATACAAATAGCAGCAGAAGCTAACTAAAATGGCCAACAGAGTAGAGAACAGACCGGACCAAAGCAAATCACACCGTGACCTCAGCCCAACTGACCCAGCCCTTAGAGCCAATCCATCTCCTGAAGTTACAGATCTGACTTGCCGACTTCCCTTATCTCCCTTCTTCTAATGCCAGAGGCTGCTCACCTTGGAGACCTGCTTCAGATATGGGTACGACCCAGCGCAAGATTGACCATACATATGTATTTAGACTGATTTAACATAGCACATCATGAACAGCATGACATCCTCTCTCACAGTCGGCAGTGGAAGCTGGAATGGAGAGGATGAGGTCCACCAAGCTGAGCACATGATCTCGGGCCAAGTTGTAGAATGGAGGGTGTCACCTTTTTGGTGCAAACATTTTTTTTAGAATCGTCCACTGGTTTGGGCTGAGATCAGTTGTCACTCCTGAGGCTTGAAGGACTTGTCAGTTCATCTACCTCTGCCTCCCCAAACTGCAGAAAGACACACAAATAGTCCCACACATATTTAGTTATACTACATGGATCACCAAATGTGTGAATTGTTTTAAAATTGAAAAAATATTAGGACTAACTATATACCTTCAGAGTGTTGTGCATCAGGCCAAGACTTCAGATCCACCAACTTGGTTCCATGAAGAACCCTGGAGTTCATGTCAACAAATCGGTTCTGCGAGTTCTCACACAGACTGTCCATGAGATGGATCTTTGCTTTCCTCACTGAATTCACAACCTTCTCATTCACTGGTGCTGGTCCATGCAGGCTGCCAGTTTGAGGCAGGCCTGTGGTGGATTACTACACTTAATTTACAATAGAAAGTCCTTGACAACTTCACAATTTCACTGTCTGGACTTCTCACCTTGTTTTGTATTTTGCCAGCACTTACTGGGTAGAGGTGAGACATCCCAGCACTTCAGCCACATGCTGCCTGTCTGTATTTTCCCTTCTTTTAATCTAATCTACAATGAAGGAGAAAAATATATAGCGTCATCTGAGTTTCCACATAAACTGTGATAACTTTAATTGCAACATCAAAATTACTGTACATTCTGTTTACATACATTGATAAAGCGTTGCTACTTGCCAGTACTAACACAGCACGATGTGTTACTATAAGGGCAGCTAATATTATGATACATGCTTATAGTAAAATTACTTACTTGCAGAGCCATTCATAATCACTGAAGCGTCTTCCTTTTACTGATGGTGTGGGTAATTTAAATTTGTCCCAAATTTTTGTTATTGTGCTACATACTGAACTTTTATTTTTTTAACCATCAGACTTATCACTCAGAGCTTCCATACCTAAAAATCCAAAGTGGAAAGTTTTTGAAAGACATTTGCTTTATCTGGCTGTCTTTTTCTGTCATTATTCATAATACATCTTATCAGCTGATTTATTGCAAACTCAATGCATTAAACTTTTGTCCGTCTTTGTCGATTCCTTCTTTTTTCTTTTTTTCCCCCAGTCATTGATCCGTAACTTTGGTGCAGATAATACTGGAACTTGTTTCAGACTTGGTTTTCTTTCCGTCAGTGACAATCAATAATTTAACTGAGGATGTAAAAACCAAAGAGTTTCACTTCGTGGGCTTGAACTGTAATGATGCTGTTGGTTATCTATCTATTTTGACCAGAACTGGTGTGTAAATGATAACCAGGCCTGCTGGTTAAAAAGTTGCCTCAGAAGACTGATGCTGAGTGTCTGCCTCAGTTCTAGGTGTAACTTCTTGACCTGCAAACAAAACTGCACGACTGTCACTGGAGAAGCTAAATAACTAAATGTTTGTACATGCTGTATTTATTGCAACTGTAACCAGGTTGAATAAATTGTATTTATTACAAACGAAAGGCTCGGTGATTGTTTTTCATGCTAAGTGTTTTCAGGACAGTTTAATATTCAAGTTTCCTGAAGTAACAGCAGAAGTTTGGCCACAAGGCTTTATCGCTCAGATCAGTTTACTCGCATCCTGTCAACATGCGTAATATTTACCTTGTGATTTATTTGGTCTATTACAAGGGTTACACATGTGAGAGGATACTGTTACAACCTCTGGACTTCTCACGCTAGATGTCACAATTTGACCATGAAGGGTAACCACAGATCAGTTTTTAACTTTTGTGCTTAAATATCAGTACTGAAATAATAAAGTTGCAGGTTTTCAGATTTTGTATTAGTTTGGCAAATCACTTGTTTTGAGAGAACAAGTTTGAACTTGCAAAATTAGATTACGAAACCAGTATGTTGTCGCATATAATCTACCAACATATATGAAATTATATTTATGCACAAGTATTAGCATCCCTCTCAGTCTAAATGGCATTGTCTTCAAAACTGAGATTGCATTTGATAAGATTAAGATTTTTCTAAGTACTTTCTTCCTCGTTCAGAGCTTTTCATAAATCCAGACTGGCTTTCCTCCCATTTAAAGTCCACATTTCTGTAATCCCAGAAGTCATCCCCCTAAGAACAAATGACGTCACTTCTCATTTCCTGAATGTCTGAAATGTGAGTTTCTCCCAGTTCAAACTCTACAGGCCCATTTTACTGAGGATATTTCGAGTAAATAAGCAGAGAATGCACAGGTGTGTAAATATTGCATTCCAGTTCTGCAGCTGAGCATGCTGCTTGTTTAGTACAACAACAAAAAATGCTTAAAAAGCAAAAGTTCCTTGAAAGGCAATGCAGCCTTTGTTAAAACCTCTGTCTTCCCGACTTGCTGCACACCATTCGCAAAGTGGGTGAAAAAATGGCTGGGAAGGCATTGTTTGCAATCCATTTCAAGCTGTGTATCAGCTCAGTCCTAGCAGCTGAACCATGTGACTGATGCAAACCCCAACAAAGTTGTTTCACTTCCAAGATCCAAATCTGATTATAAAATGCACGTTAGCTGATTTCTGGCTGTTGTTTGTCCCTGCTACACATTTATGCTGTCAGCTGTGATAGGACACCATAAACTTAAATGATGGATCCTCCCTCTGCAAACACTTGATTTAAAAGGAAGCTCCTCCCACTCGTCATAACTTAGATACCTACTTGGAGCATTGCCTAACTGTCGCAAAAGGAGCGCGCCCAGTCCACACTCTTTCCAGTCAACATGTCCACTAGTGTTCAGTCAACATATGAAGAATGTTCAAACCCTGCAAGTATCTGATGCTAAAAGATAAACACACAACTGGTAAAGTGTTTGTCCAAAAAGATATTTCAGATCTGAAATATTGATTATAGATTGGATATATGGTGTTCTGGACTGTTAAAATGTTCATTATGACCGTGAAAATTTTAATTATAGATAGTTATCGCTCCAAAACAATTATGTTTTTGCTTGTGTGTGTTTATTGACAAAATATCTCATGCACAACTGAATGGATGTGAATGAACCTTTGCAAAAATAATCATTCAGGATGGCGACTACAGCTAATTCACTTAAACTGACACTAAAAAATGCGATGAATCTGCCAATTTTACAGATTTAATGCAAGAATAAGTGATTTTTGTTGGGGAATTTTGGGTCAAAGTTTATGGATGTTTTATTACTACGGCTGAGAATGTCAATGAACCATATGTTTGCGTTAGTAGAAAGAGCTGGATGGGGAGCTGAGTGAAGGACACCTCCTGCACTCTGTGAGCTCGGATGAACTGATAAGGTATAAAAAGCGAGTGGACAATGCAGCACGCTGCAGATCCTCATCACTGGTCTCCGTGTGTATTTATGAAACCTGTCCTGAAAATCTGACCTGTTTAAAATCTTCTCCTGCCGTTGAATGTGAGTCCGTAAAATAAGCGAGAACTTTTGTCTCCAACAATTTTCTACAATCGTAGCAAAGTAATGTCACATGATGAGGTCAGAGGTCAAAGGTGCAATAAATGACTTTCTCAAATCAACAGTGAATTCTATGTTCTTACAGATAAATATGAAGACATGAATCAGTTTGACTCCACTTGTCCCACAGTCAACTTGTTTGACAAAGGAGGAAGAGTGGATCAGAGTTGCCGTCTCTCAGTGAGAAGGTTGCCGGATTAAATCCAGGCATGTGGCCTTTCTGGGTGGAGTTTGCATGTTCTCTCCGTGCATGCGTGGGTTTTCTCCGGGTATTCCAGTTTCCTCCCACAGATCAAAAGCATGCATGTTAGACTGACTGGCAACTCCAAATTGTCTCTAGGTGTGAGTGAGAGAGTGAATGGTTATTTGTCTCATGTGTCCCTGTGATGGACTGGAGACCTGTCCAGGGTGTCCCCTGCCTCTCACACAGTGACAGCTGGATATGAGCACTAGTGACCCCCATGACCTGGAAAGGAAAAAGCAGGTAAAGATAATGAATAGCTGACAAATACCAACTCTTGGCAACATTTCTACTATAACCAACATGTTACTACCTCAGCTATTCAATGCATAAAGAAGATATAACCCAAATGATCCCACTTAAAATGTGAAGCTAAACTCGTTTATGCGCTGGCTGGATTTACTTTTTTTATCCTGACCGACCTCGTGACCTTGACAAACAAAATGGCGGTCTGATGATAAAAAAATGGCTTATTAGGCAGTAGTAGATGAAAGTCTCAACACGAGGGCTAGCTGATTGAGATCTTAGCTTCAAACTTTATAACAATTGTAATCACTTTTAAGTTTGTCTGTTAGCAAAATATCTCAGATTTAATCAGTGGTGGGATGTAACTACGTACAAGTACTTAAGTACATTTTTCATGTATCTATATACTTAAGTATAGTCAAACATGGCTTCTTCTGACTTTTACGCCACTACATTTTCCATTAAGTATCTGTACTTTCTACTACACTACATTTCTATAATGCGTTGTGTTACAAGTTACATTCACGTTGCAGTTTTTTTATTTGTTCGTTAATTTGAAACCAATGGCGAGAGGGGAGTTGGTCCATTGAATCACTGCAAAGTGGGCAGGTAACGTTAGACCCACCTTGAAGAAGAGCTGGGCCAATGACGTATATTCTAGTATATACGTCATTGAGCTGGGTGCACCTGCAGCACCACTAACACACCCAAACTGGATTCCACCACGGAGAGTCAGCCAGAAGATACGCACCTTATTGAAAGATTATTGAAAGACTATTGAAAGACTTCAATACAGCAGGACAGATTTTCTCTCCCAAAAGAGACAGACTGGACTCAAAATCTTTGAAAACCAACTCCTTCTGAACTTGAACAAGAAATTCTTGCTGCAATATTAAAATGTGTCAGTTCATGATGTTAGGAGACAAGTGATGTCTCCAAATGGCTCAACACTCGGGTCCAAGTTTTGAAAACGGTGTCAGGAAGTTAAAATATTGTTCACTATTGACCCATTACAAGGTTTAGACAGTATTTTAACTAGAGTTGATGACAAACTGAAGTTGAAATGATCAGATATTCCTTTGTTAGTTGTGTCTAATGCCCCTTTTGTTCAGGCAGACAACTTTTACTTAAATGTGTTTACTGCAGTAAAAATGACACATTGGTTTTGCTTTGTGTTAAATAAAAACTTTCAAAGGTATAATCATTCCTCTTTCTTATTTTGCTTAATGGCATTTAACTCATCCCTGAAATTCTGATGCACAGAATCACAAGTCCAAGTGTGAACTGTGTCACAGAGTAAACACAATAAAAACATGTATTATCTGCAGCATCGTTCATTAAAATGACTCACTATTAATGTATTACAGAAAATATACATATGGAAGGCACACTTTATGATATTGTAGACCATTGCATTAGGTAATACATTCAGCAAGTACTTTTACTACTTGAAGTATTTTTAAAAGCAAGTACTTAGTCACTTTTACTTAAGTAAAAACATTAATGTGGCACTTCTACTTTTACTGGAGTACATTTTTGTCTGTTTATTTGTACTTTTACTTAAGTACAGTGTTCGAGTACTTTCTCCACTCCATTTAATCAATCGTTGGACGTAAGACTTATTAATTTTCAGTCAGCCTCATTCAAAAAGGCCGCTACAGAAAATTACACAAACGCAAAATAAAATAGCTGCAACTCAGTCAGATTTACATTTATTGAGCTCAAGCTTGGTGTGGTAGTAGCAGAGAGTGATCCCCAACACACACTCTGAGCGCATTCTCAAGGTTTGACTAAAACAACACGCTTCTTAGGAGATCCCAATCCAATTATTAAATGACAAATCGGCCTGCCTTAAACCAGTTGTGCGCAACTACAATAACGCAACGCAAAACAAAAAAAGTACCTCAAATAATAAAAATTAAAAAAAAGTTTAAGTTATAATATATAGTAAAGTGTATAAAACGGAAGCAACGATGCTAGTTTTGATTAGCTTCAAGCTAAACTTTATTGAAACGTGCTTGACGTTAACACCCTCACCTTCCGTCCAGGAAGCGACGCACTCGGAGGTCGGAGGACTGACACGCTCGAGAAAAGGTGAGTAAAAGGAGAAGACTGGAGAAATGTTCTCGCTTCCTTATTTCTTCATTTGAACCGTGTGTTACAACCGGACAGTGAAACGAAGCCATGTTCTGCGGGTATTAAAAACAGCTGGGGAGGAATTAATGGTCGTCAGGTTGGCAAGAGTCCAACAATTTACAGTAAAAAAAAAAACTTATTTCCTCAGACAATGAACATTTGTTTTAAAATAATTATATATTAATATATACAGTATGGTGTTTTAAGAGTCAAAAACACGGGGAAATGTTTTTTTTCTTCCCCCTTCCAGAAATGCAGCGATAGAATAAACACAAACATGCAGCATCATTTAAATGCGGAAGTGTATCTGTTTATCTTGTTGTTGTTGTTTATTTTTGTCTCCTTTTACTTTGTGGCAGCTTGTGTTTCTGCAATGTTGAAATGAAGATAGATGAAAAAGTTGTCAGCTATTTTGAATCCTGCAACTCACCTGTGGACAAGGAGGGCTACCTCTCCAAAAAGGTAAAGAAAGAAGAAAAAAACAAGTTATTTGTTTATTGATGGTTTACAACACAAGAGTTGATTAAAGTCAAGGGAAATGTTGCGCAATAGTTCACATTTATTTAATTAAAAGTTTGCGTGCAAAGTAAAGTAGTATTTTACATCGGGTCCAGATTTCAGGAATAAAGGCTTTATTGAAGGAATGCATATTGCCCGCCATATTTCATGCCTAAGATCATCTTGTGTTGACAGATGTGATGGTGCTATATTGCAATATGTTGGGAATGACTCTCAGCTACTACCACTTAAAATTGTCGCTCAGTATTGGTAAAAGTGGCCGAGTTATAGCTAATTTTGTGTCTGCGAGGGTTGTTAGATGTGCATCCAGTGATTAGTTCCTAAAGTTTTCATTAAAATCTGTCCAGTGGGTCATAAGATATTTTGCTAACAGATGCACAGTTGACTCAAATAAGATAATGGCAAAGTTTGTAACAAATATCTTGTACAATCTCTAAAATTTATGTCAGGATCAGTCTCAGCTTCTACCAAACCATATTTTAGCTCAATATTTGGTAAACTGACTGAACTATAGTCATTTTTGTGTTTTGTAATGTTAGTTGTCTGTAGCAGCCATTTTGAACCTGGTTGGGTCCAAATGTGAAACAGTTATAGATGTACATCCAGTGATTCCTTTTTGTAATTTTCATTGAAATTTGTTTTTTAGTTTATGAGATATTTTGCTAACAGACAGGCATGAAATGCTCTGTGGGATGTAAACTCTCACAGTGAGCTGCATGTTGCCTCAAAGCTGTTGCGCAAGAAGTTGAGTACATGAGAAACTCTGCTCAATAACCCACAGATTGTCTCACACAGGGCGAGATAAAGACTTCCTATCAGAAGCGCTGGTTCGTGCTGAAGGGGAACCTCCTCTTCTACAAGGAGCGTCCGGCAGACAGGGACGTGGTAGGACTGATTGTTCTGGAGGGCTGCACCGTCCAGCTGTGTGAGTCTGAGGAGCAGTTCGCCTTCTCCCTGGTGTGGAGCGAAGCGGGCCTGAGGACTTACAAGTTTGCTGCAGAGGACCAGGCGAGTCAGGAGAGCTGGATCAAAGCTCTGCTGTCGGCCAGCCACAGCTACCTGGCCCTACTGGTGATGGACATGGAGAAGAAGTACAGAGGTGAGGGGAGATACCTGTCGCGATAAACAATAAATCAGTTAATCGCATGATAAATTAAAATTATCGACCTCATTTTCATTTATCGGCTTCATCGTTTCTTCGTGTCTCTCTCTTTCTACTGAAGACACTGGATGATAAAAGGCTCAACTCAGGTGCTCTTCACTGACCCCTCCCTTTCTCTTTAAAATCTGTTTTAAACGTCCAAAGTTGTGCTTTTGGATCACTAAAAGCAGCTAAGCTGAGAAGCTAAGCTAACAGGTCGACCTCAGGAAAAAAACTCAGTCTTGTCAAAGCTCCAAAATTCATGGTGGAAACCCGTGCTTTCGTCTAAAAAGTTGTTTTTCCTCTGTAAAAAGAAGCTGAGAACTTGTTTACTGATTTTTTATTTTTTTTTATTTAAAGCTTTGTGTGAACAATGCTATGCTGAAGACCTCAAATCACGCTGAGGTGTCGCCATTTTGAGTAGTGAAAAGAATGAAAGAGAGACAGCCCATGTCACGTCAAGGGGCCTCCCTCCCATTTTTCTTAGAGACACCTTGCTTGCTCCCTCACTATCCATCCTTCGGTTCAAACAGTCATACTGTCATCTGGTGGTAAATAAAAAGTACTACACAAATAAATGAACCAAAATTTCTTCTTAAATTTGGCAATAATTACTAATTATTGTCAAATTTCAAACCATATTATTGTTTATTGCAATTATTTCTGAGACAATTAATTGCCCAGCAAAATTTATTATTGTGACAGGCCTTATTCTGTCATTTTAAAGACCTGACATTCCTTCAAGGAACATACAGTAGTCTCGATAATTCGCAGTTCGAGTTTTGCAGGTTTTCAACGTAAGATTGTACACGACACTATTGTAAACTTTAACATTACGTGATTGGAATGGTATGGGATAAAAAGGTAATGGGAGCGGGCGGAAGTGGGAACCAACCAATAGGACAAAAAACAATACAACAAAAAAAAAACTGCAGAGAAACCGATGTGGTAAAAATAGTTTTGTAACACAAAGTCAGAAGTAACAATCTATCTATTAAGCTCACAGATCTAGCAGAAAATTGCAAATAATCCTGAAGCTGAATCCTTCATGTTGTAGTATCTTCATTGGTGAGCACCCATATACAGTTTTGCAGTACTGTGCAGTACATATACATATATTGTTAAAAATACGTAGGTTTAAGAGTTAAGAACATTGCAAGAATGAGAGAAGGGTTTATAAAGCCTTATCTATCTATATATATATATATATATATATATATATATATATATATATATATAT